ACCCACACACACACACATATATATATATATATATATATATATATATATATATATATATATATATATATATAAACACACACACACACACACACACAGACACTTATGTCTATACATATTTATATATCATATATATATTACACACACACACACACACACACACACACACACACACACACACACACACACACACACACACACACACACATATATATTATATATATATATATATATATATATATATATATATATATATATATATATATATGTATGTATGTATGTATGTATATTATATATATATATATATATATATATATATTATATATATACAAATATACACACACACACACACACACACACACACATACACACACACACACACACACCACACAAATATATATTATATATTATATATAATATATATATATATTATTATATATATAGTATGTATATTTTTGTATTCACATATATATACATATTATATATATATATTATATATAATATATATATATATATATATATATATATATATTATTGATTAGGGGGAGAGGAGAAAACATACGAAAGTGATGGAAATAATTTCGTTTAATATGTTGATAAGAACCCGGGATGTAATGAAAAGAAAAGCATTTCATTCATTTACAAGCTGGAAAGATTTGTACAACTGCATATTTCCTAAAAGTATTGTCTTATGGTTTGGTCTATAATTATTACTATCAATTTGATTTTACTCTTTTTGCTTTTGTAATTTATTGTTGCTTTTATGATCGTCTATCCAGCATGATTACATTGTCATTACGTATTAATGATAATAACAGTAAATATACTAACAACCATTAAAGACAAAACCGAACTTGTACTCACGCAGTTTCCTCGGTGTTGTCTTCGACTTCGATTTCGTTTGGGTCACTTGAGCGAAGAGATCGTGGTGTGGAAGCCGTGGCTCTGGCTCTTAACGAACACCAGCACAGAGCCACCGTCACAAACACGAAAACTACCATATTCAAAACCGATGTCAAAAACACTGCCACAACAACATCGTTAGTGCTATAGCATTCAGTGGAAGATCCTGCTTTTGCGTCAGTTATACTTGAAGTTGGATGGTTGTGTTTGACTGTTCCCTGATCTTTGGAAGCTTGGGAAGGTGGGGAGTGACTCGCTGTTTGCAACAAGGCGTTATGGGCAACGATCCCACCAACTTCCCCCCGGCCAAATTTGTCACCATCTGAATTCGGTTCAGCCTGTGCTCTCGCCTCTGCCCGCTTCCGAATACTGGAAAACCGGTGTTCACGAGATGCTCTGCTTCGGTAGTCTAGACTGGTGGCTGTTGTCCCAGGGGAAAGGAGAGTCAGGAAAGGTGAGGAATTGATATTGCGGACCAAACCTACCTCAGGTTCTATCGGATCATGACTAATATAGCTATCTGATCCTTCAAGATCGCTCTCTTCCCTGTCTATAGAAAGTTGTGTCGCTTTCATCAGATCTAAAGATTTAACACCATCTGAATTAATGCTTTCAGAATGAATTTCACGACTGTTATGCTTATTATCATCGCCGGACTTTGTGTCTACTATATGTTTGTTGCTATTTGCTAATAATGGATTCTGCAATGTGCGACGAGATTTTATCGTCTGACGCTTATTGGATTCCGGCAAAACTATGGGCTCCTGAGACCTTTGCCTGAGGTTAAGGACTGAGTTGGCAGGATGGGAGGCGAGGGAAGCTACAGAAACCAACGTCTGAACTACTTTCTTCAATAGCACCTCATTGCGATATTTGTTTGCAATTTCTTCTTCATGCACCGTCAAATTGTTCACTAGTTTTGGAGGGTATGTCTGAACTTCCTCTACACTACCATTTTTAGTTTCGTCAGTGGGAGTGAGATAAGTGAACATGTTATAGTTCCCCTGTTGGTTCTTAGGACGATGGATGGTCCATGGAAGATCCACCAGGGAGTCTGAAGTTGTGGAATTCTGGGGCAGAACCTTCGAAATATTAAGATTCCAAGAATATAGTTGAGGTATCATGAGACTTGGACTTGATGTCGATTCACTCGTACTTAATTCCTTATCCATAACTGCACCTTCAGTAGTTACACTATTTTGTAGGTGCTGGGTGCTCTCACTATGACGAGATTTGGGAATATAAGGTATAGTTCCTGAAAATGTTGAGTACTGTCCATTTGTGTTTTGAAGCGTATCTTTAACTTGAATATTTCGAAAAATATTGTCAAAACTTCCATCTGTGTCTAAAAGCATTTTGTAACCTCTTCCCCATCTCCGTTTTCCATGTCGAAGTTTATGTCGCCTTCGTTTGCTTGCTTTTTTTTCTTCGCTATTCCTTGCAGACTCTATGTTGTTCTTGGGAAATGGCTCTGCATTGTCTAATTGGTCCGAATGTGGCCCTAAAAAAGGCAACATCCATTCTTTTCTTTTACTTTGAGAATTGAGTGAGCTAGCAAATCTCTTCTTGCCCATGTATAAAGGAGTCCCACTCTCTCTCGGGTGTGTTTCACGAT